TATGCCTTTAAATATATTTCGTGTATCTCTTTCTTTTTTGCCAATGATCAAAAAGATGTCAAATGTGATTTTTAACAAAGGAATATATTTATGTATGTATACGTATGTACATTTCCATCATGTATTATATGTAATTGCAGTTAAATCTATAATTGATTCCTGTTTATAGGCTTGGAATAAAATAAAATCAATCAATCAATCAATCAATCAAAAATGTAAAGTACTGAAATGTACACTTTTAACATACATGCACACAGAACACATGCACATGCTCTTTACTGCCAGGTGTTTCAGCAATAAAACCTCACTCTTGGATTCCCTTATCACTTGACATTTCTGTCCAGATGGGAAGATCAACAAAGCTGTCTGCATTATACCACAACAAGATTCCTTCGACAGAACTGAAGCAAATGGATAAAGGTCGGAGAAAGCATAGGGGACTTCTTCAAAAGTAAAACATAATATCTCGTTCAACTTTTAGCTTTAATTCCAGCATGGAGGAAGACAACGTTGATAACAAACACAGGCATTTGGAACGATTTTGAATTAGGCTAATTAGGTTTGTTTTGTTTGTTGTTCAGGAGGCATGATCAAAGTGATATTTCACCAATTTGTGTCAGCCCAGGAGGAGAGGAGGAAGAGTTTGGAGAATGCAGCCCATTAATCTCCACAGGTTTGGTACAGTGCTGTGTGTATATGGATGTTAATAAAAACAAGAGAATTATGAATAATGAAGAATGTTTATCAGAAATGAAACAAAACTCTAGATTTGTCCTGTATTGGTGGCTTATTATGTATTATGATTGAACTTGCCTTTCTTTTGTGTGTTCCAGTTTTCCAACTCCTTACAAAAGGTGACTTCAATTTGAACGCCTGCTTGAGTGAGTTGGAGGGGAAAAAATATCAAAAGAAATCAAAAAGATCAGATGGCTTGACCCCAAAGCGCAAAGTCTGGGAGCAAGCGGCTGTTTTGATCTTATCTAAAATTTATGAATAACTTCCTTGATATTTCCTTCGCACTATGAAGCCCTCCGCTGTTACACAATGATGTCTTGGAGGGGAAATGACGGAGATCAAACGGGACCCGGGTTCAGAATATAGCTCGCTGTCTCTTTCCCTGTAGCCATAGAGAAAACACAGCAGCGAGCTATCCAAGGCGTGTGATTGAAATACAAGCTCCACTAAGCTGTGCCTATGTGATGATATTTGTGTTTGTGTCAAAGGAATACAGAGCGGTGTCCCTGGTTCAGTTTATCCACAGAATCCGTCTGTGTCTTTGTTGGTGTGTTTGTGTGTGAAGAAAAAAAAAACACTGTCAACATTATAGCTTTTACAGCACTGGCAGACGCACAACTATTCCAGGCTCTTTGGGTGTGTAATGGCCTCAGATGCTTTTCACTATCTCTTGATTCTCTTCACAAAAGTCAAGTGTTCTCAACATGTTATTTGCCAAAAGTGGCCTTGTTCCATGGCTCTATTGTTAGCCTAATGGAGGCTAGACGACACTAAGACTCTAATTATGGACACCAGCGATCAGACCCGATAATATTGCGAGTAAAGTGGGTAATTTGTGGCTGTTGTATTGAAGCTTGAGGGGAGGGGGAAGTATAAGGGGTAGAAGGGAGGTAGGCAAGTTTTTTTTTTTCTCTTGAGTCATCACCTCATTGCCCATCACCCTAATAGTTCTCCCCCAGGCACAACGTGACTATGTGGCACAGCATGAGCATATTAATGAGCAGTGAAATATTAGTTCCTGTCCATTCAAAACAATCATCTACCACATAAAGATTATCAACAGGTGATTTCACTCCGATCACTAGGCTTCATGGAGGTACACTCCTATTTTGTAATAATAAAGTGCCTGCATGGCTCAGCTCAAGTGCCCATTCATCTCATTCAATAATACCATTACATACAGTGAGGCTGAGGCTATAGATCAATGACTTATCAGTAACTAGGAAAACAGCACAGCTTTTCTCGTTCAGTATCCATAAACAATTATGTAATAAAAATAGATTTACAGTTCAGGATTGATTCTGCAATAACAAAAAAATGATTGATTGGCTGAAAAAAAATCTATTACAATCCTTTATACGACCGAATAATGCAATCAATACAGTGCTGGTGAGACAGGCACCAAAGTCACACAGCAGGCCTGTGCCGATTCTGTCAACACCAAATATCAAAGGCCTTTCCCCAGAGTGATCTGTCCAAACAATTAAAAGTGAACCTCTTTGTGCCATCACACTTAACATGGCAGACAGAAATGAAAGCAGCCCAGTGTATTGGTGGAGCGAGGCATGACGTCTCCTATGACAAGCCCCACCGAGAACACAGCACACCACAGGAATGACATTCCTCTTAAAATTTTAAATATGTTTTGACACAAAATCAAAAGTTGCTCCCCACTTTCTGGGAGAGATTCCCTATTTGTGTGATCACTTATTAGACCCTCAGGTGAAGCACCAACACCTGAAATGTCTCCCGCGCCTCCTCTGAGGTTCAGCTGCAGATCTGGAGTTCATTCACATAGTGGCTTTTTCCCTGCGTCGGTGATCACAGCTCAAGTCATTCGTGATCTGTGAGGATTTTACATGGCTCATCTTTATTCTGCAGTGGGGAACGAAGCTGTCAGCATCAGACTGGAGAAAAAGAGACCAGGGTCCTGCATAATACTTTATATTTATGTGCAAGCCATCGCAGCAAAAAATAAAAACGTAACGTGAATGTTGGCAATAGTTGTCCATAATTTCTATCCATAAAAATAAACAATTGACACAAAGCGGCCGCCTGATTGGACATTTTTTTGTGTTCTGACAATAGCAAGAGCATAATTCATTTCAGTAATATTAATAAGCTTGAGTGGTTTTAAACATAATGGAAAGCAAATAGTGTTTGAAGGGCTTTTAGCTTCCTCTATACATAATCCGGCAGATTAAATTTGCAATCATCACTAACAAGAGAAGTTGTCTTATAGCAGGACCTCATTATGTCTCACCACAAATGATCGTATTTAATGCAGTCAACAACTTCAAAGAAGGATATGACGAAAGTTGCAAAAAAAACAAAATTGTTCCCAGTGGTCAGCAGAGGGGTTCAGACAAATGAAAGCCAATAAAGCAGAACAATCGATGACTTCTGACATATCACCAGTGCATGAATGAATCTAAAAGAACAGGCTGCAATGAACGAAAGACAAGCACAAATGTATCTTTTCCATGTTAGTTTTGCCAGATTTAAGATTTCATTGGCCATTTGACGGTATCAGAAAACATGAATGCTCCAACAATAACTTAAAACAATATCATTAAGTAACAATTTCCTTCAGCAAACACAATAGGGAGAAGTACACAGCTGCTTAAATTAGTGTGAGAGTAAAACAGAAAGGTGATGGAACTGTGACGACAAAAGGGCATCCAAAGGAGAATGTTAATAACAATACCACTAAAACAATTTCCATTAATTTTTGGCCATTTCACAAGGGAGCAATATCTACATGCCCGCAGCACGTTTAAATTGCCTAGTCTGCCTGAGAAGCAGTGGAGGGCTCCCCAGTGTCCAGCCGCTGTCATCAGAACAGTCAGAACCAGAAAACACTCAGGAGACATGGAGCTAGAGAAAGTTAAGCTAGAAAAAGTAGCTCCAGACAGACAACAGCTTTAAATGGCCAAAAATGTGAAACAATTAGATAAAGAATGTCTCTATGGGTGCATGATTCCTAGCCTGGCCTTAGCCGTCCATAAACTACGGTCAATAACTATTTCCCTACATGTATGTCTGGGTCTGGTCCCAGTGTCTGCAGTTACCACGGTAATATCCCATCCGGCCAATCAGTGAGTGGGGGAGTGGGTGTTGGAGGTAGGTGGTCAAATTTGATGGTTGGAGTTTGGATACGATGAAAAATGCAATAGTAAAGTAATCCGTTCTGGTTCTACTTCAAATATCAAGAAATTGAAGCCAGAGCAAGAAGAATGTTTAGCTAATTTCATTTCTGGAAAAGATTATCACGCTACTGCCCACTGGCTCTGTTAATGGCACAGGAGATGGCTAAAGCTAGGCTAAATGCTAAATGCCTCAATCATTCAGGCGCATTACATACGTCACAGCAAACTCAGATCCAACAGTTTCAATCTGCAAAAGGAGTCAACCCCTCCCACGAGTTAACGGAGCTCAATGAACCTTAGCTGTGGTAAGACCAGGCTACATGATTCCACAATTGTATTTGTGTATTTTAACTTGGGCTGGGACATTTTCCCTTTTCCAGAGCCATGCTTTTCCGGCATGCAAAAGTGTTATTTGCACCCAAATCTATGTATGGAGCAGGTGTGATAATATTTCCTATCCATGTTTATAATTTAATTGTTGTATTTAATGCTTGTAACATTCAATAAACAAGGAAACATTTTTTTAAAGATTGAAATGTGTGAAAGGCTCTTGACCCTTTCACTTTAACAGAAAAGAAAGAAAATGGTCATTTTGATAAAAAAGCGCTGGCGGCCACTGATTCATACCTTTAAACTCATTTACTTCAAATACTGTAGTTATAAAGTGCACATTTAGGCAAAAATAAAAAAGAAAGGTCATGACGAACACATGTGAAAGACTTTTTTTCTGCTAAATGTAGTAATCGGTATCTTTTCTAGGTGCTGTTTGAAAGGCTTTTATGCCTCTTAAGCCTTTCACAAACAGCGCACATGGAGAATTGTATCCCAGTTCAGCGGCTCAGCATACCCACCGGACGTGGTCTCCATTGAGCAGGTTTGATATGCTCTAACACACTTGTGATGTTGGATGGATTGTCTCAAAAGGGGAATTGTTCACATGGGATTTATATTAATATAGTGTTTATTTAACCCCACCTTGAATATTATTATTTCATACAGTTATCAAGGAAGAGTTCGGGCCTGATGTAATCTACTGTGCCATGAAAAAAGTTCAGTTTTTGTTTTGTACTGTGAAAAAAGGAAAAATCATCGAGTTGCACGTCTCCTCTCACTCACCCAACAGCAGACAACAAAGTTCCCTGCCGATGAAACTTTTCCAATATCATGTCCCTTGCCTGCTTCTGGAGGAGGCTGGACGTCTCATTTGCAAGAGAGCAGGCGCTGGGAGAGGAGCCGTCAGCCGCCGCCTGTCCGTCACTGCGGCGACTGGGGAGAGAGGGGAAGAGTGTGTGTTGATTAATATCAGGAGGGCAGGGCAGAGCGCGCTGCAGCTCACCGGGAGAAACAGAGCCAGAGAGGACACTTCTCTTCACTGCTGCCCAGGGACGAGAGGGGGTAATGAGGCAGAAACAGGCTGGAGTATAGGCACAAGGACAGACAGGCTCCCCACATCACCCCTCCTCCCCCAAACTCAATCTCTCCTCCTCCATACCCTATCTGTGCACCATCAAGGTCCACCTCAATGTTTTCCACTGTTTGACACTCATTCCCTGTTTCCTACCGTCAGGCTCTGTGTCTGTTCTGCTCCACATCACCTGCACCTAATGGTAAAATATATTTGCTTCTACAACATAATACAATGGATGCGATGGAAATGACATGGAGTGGCCTTTTGACAAAACTGTCCCATTAAAAGTAAATGAGTGAGAGCTGTAGGTGTGTCTCAATATCACTTCTGCGCGGCACGGTGGCTGAGTGGGTAGCACTCATGCCTCTCAGCAAGAAGATCCTGGGTTCGAATCCCGGTCGGAACAGGGTCTTTCTAAGTGGAGTTTGCAGGTTGTCCCTGTGCTTGCGTAGGTTTTCTCCAGGTACTCCGGTTTCCCCTACCACTAAGAACATGCACACTAGGTAAAATCCTCCAGCTCTGGTAGTCCTGACCAAGCCGAGCATCAACATCTGGAGATAGGTTCCCGGGGGCTGTTACTACGGCAACCACTGCTCCTGACAGCACCTTGGTGGCATCAGGATGGGACAAATGCAGAGGATGAATTGCCCTACGGGGATCAATAAAGTTCACCTTTACTCTGTTTGTATCTCATCTCATCATATGATGATAGCAAAAGAAAGGAATTAGGGCAGGTAAAAATGTCCTGAGAGGTAGACAACATTGTATCGTCATATCACAAAAGGTCCATCATAATTTAATTTTTCCATCTGTACTCTGAATAAAGATTCAAGAATTTATTTTCCATTTGCAGTAAGAACCACATTGCAAAAACCGTGCAAGACTACCACAGTGTGCACCAGATAGCACACACCTCTTGCCACAGCGCCATGGAAATACCAAAAATGCTGTATTAAAAAATTCCTTCAATTTGTCCCAGCGTGTCAGATGACAGTCACATTATCCACCTCATGAGATTAGTGAGGACTGCTATCTTACCATTTGACAACATGATCAACTAGGGAATTGTGGCCTTGGTAAACCATCATCAAAACAGCAGGAGATATTTCCATCTTTTCCAGAGTTCAAAGGGTGAGTTGAGATTCAGAAAGGATTAGAGCCGTACACAGTCTCCCGAGCTATCCATGCTGGACGAGAATATTGCACACCACATGTTTTTGTTTTTTTGTTGGAGCAAAGCCACCGAGATGTCTCCTTTATGGGATTGGAGCAGTGTGCTTACTCTCTGCAGGAAGAGGATGCATTCACTCAGACTTATGAGAGATATTGCCGGGCACAGGAGGTGGAGGCCAGGAAATAACATGAGCAATTTCATAAATGGAAGGGAGAGGCTGTGACTTCCTAAATCGTGTGTGAAAGACAGAGGGAGTCAGCGGCAATGGGGGGCCACAGGGACTGAGAAGGGAGTATATAGGCGCTAAGTGTGTGTGAGAGAGAGCAAGCGAGGAGGCCCGGGCACGCTACTGGTAAATGGACACAAGTGGGTGAGTGAGAAGGAGAGCGGCTGGAGAGATAGAAGAGATGAAGGGGCAGATTCGGCACCAGCTGAGTGAGCACTTCTATTAGCCGCCATGCTTTCTTGTGCCCCTTCCTCTACCGTCACAGTGTGGCTTCCTCTCACATCAGATTAGCTCCGGCCTTGGGGAGACGCTTCAAACTCCTCAGTCCAAGTTATTTAAACACGCAAGGCGCAGAGGCCATGTTTGTGTCTCCTTGCTGAATGAATCCCAGACTTTAGCATAGATAGTTATAGCTGTGGGCGCATGTTCTTGTGCCGTGAGAAGTCACCATCAATCAAAAGCTGATAGAGGATATGCCAATCGCGGTGTGTCAGGAAAAAGAAGAAGACAGCAGGAGTAAAGCTACAGAAGACAATTATACTAAGGCTTAGATATTACATGCTCAGGTTCTGAGGTCTGTGGACCAGAATCTGCTTATGGTTCCATGGCAGTGTTTGGGAAGTTACTTCTATAAAAAAGTAACCCGTTAATTTAATTAATTACTCGCTAAGAAAGTAAAGTTACTAGTTACTTTTATGTTACTTTTGTGTTACTGTTAGTATCCACTACAGTCTATGCTTTCTACTAAATCTTGTTAAACCAAGGAGACGTGTTGAAACCATAGACTTTGCATTGAAACTGGATGCAACCCATGCGGTGGAGTGAAAAAGAAACAGCGTTACCTTACTGTATTGTGGATAGTTAACTCGTTACTTTTATTTCCCCCGGAAAAAGTAGTTTCCTAAGTAATGGGTAACGGGTGTAACGTGTTCCAACACTGTTCCACGCTGTTCGGGATCAGAAGAGATCGTACTTTTCAACATTTATTTCTTATGGTGCCGGTTGACTCAATTTATTTGTTCAGGCTTTTGTCTTAAATCTTTCATGTTACTGTGTTATTTTGGACTTTGAAAATGTGTCCAATCTGTGCATTGCCTTGTCGTTGTGAAGAGCTTTCTTACCCTGGTCAGTGAAGGGCTCTGTATGAATAAAGATTTCATAAAATAAATTGTCCAGGGAAGAAAAAGTTTCAAAAAACAACTATTTTTGGCAGAAAGGCAGAAAGACCAACCATGAAAAACACAAATATAGTTTACTGTGTTGGGTGAAGTGTTCTGCAGCAGTGATATGCATTAAGTTTCCTTTTGCAGATGTTTGAGGAAAAAGAGAGACAGAACATGCAATGAGCCGCTGTCAAGCTTTCATCCCACTGATGAGAAAGGCCAGTGCAGTGTGGCAGAGCGCAGCCCATTTTCTGACAGAGACGGCTGTTTGAGCTCTCCAGTCATGGCCCCTGTGATGAATGGCCTCCACTGCCAGGGAAAGAAAGGGAAAACGGGGGCTTGTGAGGCCTCTGAGGATCAATACATTCGCACAGGAAGAGCTGCTTCGCATGTTAAAAATCCAATCTGGCCGTGCCTCCTCCTTACTGGCTCACTCTGCTGTCTCCTGTATCTCTGACGGACAAGCCTATGGGAGCGAGTGGGCGGGGGCTGATACTTGGGAGCAGACTGTGCATCTACATAAAGTGTGTCAGCAGGTTTCCACAGAGGCCAGGTTGTCAGCAAACCCAAGGTCGCTGTGGCAAGCGATCGAGCGCACAACCCCAAATCTCTTGCTCTGATGATGCTCTGAAAGGCATCAGCAAGACATGGTAATTCGAAGGTGTCTAAAGCGATGGATATCCTATTAATGAGCCCAAAACAATGCCTCGACTAATGAGCTTATAATGGGAATATTGAATGCTTGGGAATGGGATTGGGCCGGGTGTCAGCCAGGAAGGAGACTGCTGAATGAGCGCCAATCTGCCAGGGCTAAGAGGGTTAGGACTGGGGACGAATACAAACGGCGAGGCTGCATGGAGGGGTGTAACGTCAACCCGAATCAATAGGAACCGCCCTGCCCAGGCTCATTGCTTCTGTGATATACGCAGGCAGGCGTCTCCTTGATCATAAATAAAACATTAAAATGCAACAAATAATCAGGGCAAATTGACAGAGATCTATTTACTCTGTGTTTGCTGTTTTGTGGTGGGAGGGACTGATTGGTACCCTGCGCCCAATTTGAATCAACCAAGCCCCGCAATGTGATTCTGCTTTTGTTTCTATATTAATCAATTAATCAAAGTGTTGGTTCGGAGGGGTGGGGACTGGAGGGGTAATGAGAAGTAAACCAAGCAAGTGAATGGTTTCAGTGACGGACTAATAGCTGGAATAGGAATTACAGTCCAATTGCTCAGTCTTATTGAGGCTTTAAAGCTGCAGAGGCCTTCCACAGCCAGCCGGCCTGCCTTCTTGTGTGATTTGATTCCATTTGGAGAGCCTTATTTTCCTCTTGATCTCACACATTAAGGACCTTGCTAGTATTCACCCCAGCAGTGAGTGGAAGCAGAGACGAATCAGAGCAATGGGGGAAAATGCAACGGTTGAGCCCAAACAGGTTGTGTTTAAAATCTCCTCACTTGGCTCAATGTATTTTAAGATAGCAGAACTTTAGGGAACCATATGCAGCATGTACCATTTAAAGATCTACAGTAGGAGCCTAGGAATTTTATCTAAGCCTAAAACTTGCCAGTGTATTTACTGTAGAAGTTTGTATATATGTCAGCAGTATGTACTGGAGCAGTACCCTGCAAACCCATTTGTTGACACTTGCCTAGTAATGTAAAGTCTCATGTTTTAAGTAAAGGAGGGACATGTAGAGGGAACCCTACTGAGCCCAACGATTTGAACCCGTAGTGCCCCCCGCAGTGCATAGACATAGAACATGAATATTCCCTCAGAGCAGAGAAAAGGGTCTGAAACAAACGGCTACATCGGCCATGCTGCTGTAACCAGTCCTGCGCCACCCAGCGGCTACACCACCTCTGCTGCTGTGATCTCTCCTGCTCCACCCAGCGGCCACACCACCTCTGCTGCTGTGACCCGTCCTGCTCCACCCAGCAGCTACACCACCTCTGCTGCTGTGACCAGCCAGCTCCACCCAGCAGCTACATCACCTCTGCTGCTGTGACCAGCCAGCTCCACCCAGCAGCTACACCACCTCTGCTGCTGTGACCAGCCAGCTCCACCCAGCGGCTACGCCACCTCTGCTGCTGTGACCCGTCCTGCTCCACCCAGCGGCCACACCACCTCTGCTGCTGTGACCCGTCCTGCTCCACCCAGCAGCTACACCACCTCTGCTGCTGTGACCCGTCCTGCTCCACCCAGCAGCTACACCACCTCTGCTGCTGTGACCAGCCAGCTCCACCCAGCGGCTACACCACCTCTGCTGCTGTGACCTGTTGCATTGTACTACTATATTTTTAGAATTATCTGTTTAACCTATTTGTTTTGTTTGCATGAATGCATGTTCTTCTGCTGCTACTGGACACCTGAATTTCTCCTATAGGGATCAATACATTTAGTATCTATCTATACACGTTTTGACCATAACGTTACTGTGACAATGAAAATATTTCATGAAAATAAAACTTAGAATAGCAAACACATGGGTGAGTGCAGACCAGTTACTGTAACGCTACTTCTATGTAAAAACAGAGCACTGATTTGGAAAAAAAATATGTTGGGTAGCTAACAGCTTACGCTAGCTAGTTATAGCTGTTAGCTAGCCAAATGTACAGCTA